ATAATTAGTAATTAAAACATATAAAGCAATCGAAGAATCTGGTTTGCGTAGATCCTGACAAATATAGGAAATCTCAGCAAAGTGAAAGATGAAATTACACAATAACCAATTATCAAAATGAAGTAGATACTTTATTGATTATAGAAAGGCCTTCAGTTGTGTCAATCACACTGAGCTGTGGAATATGCTTAGAAAAATGAGAATCCCAGAACATCTCATTGTCTTTTTGTAAAACCTATATATAGGTCAGGATGCCGCAGTATGGACAGAGACCGGCTCCAGATTGCAATAAGGCAGTATAGTCTCCCCTTATTCGTTCAATCTATATGCTGAATACGTATTAAGGGAAACTGGATTGGAAGAAGATAAGCATGGTTTTAAAACAGAAACATCAATAACCTGTGCTATGTTGATGACAGCTGAAAATGCAAAAGATCTGCAAGGTCTAGTAATAAAAGTCAAGGAGTGCAGTGAAAAAAATGGAACTAAAGTTAAATATAAAGAAGAGCAAACTAATGAGAACAGGTACAACTATCAGCCTTAGAACTGACAATAAGATCAAGCATCAACAGTAAAGGAACAAGCAGTCAAGAAACACGCTGCAGAGTAGCACTTGGTAGAGCAGCCATGGAGGCCTTGGAAAAGAAATTCAAATGCCATGATGTGTTTATACCTACAAAGATCAGAATCCTGCAAGCCAAGGTATTCTCTGTGATGCTCTATGAAAGCGAAAACTGGACTTTGAAGAAGCAGGATTGGAAGATGCCTTTGAACTTTGGTGTTGGAGAAGACTCCTGAGAATACCATGGACAGCCAGGAAAACGAAGGATTATTGAAAAATTAATCCAAAGTCTCACTCAAAGCACAAATCACCAGGCTCAATTTATCCTGATGCATTATGCAAAGATCTTGCTGGAGAAGCTGGGAATGAAGCTGAGATGCTGGGAAAGGTGGAAGGAAAAAGAAGAAGAGGACAACCAGCAGCAAGGTGGAGGGATCAGTTACAGTGGCAATAAAGAACCGTTGGAAGACCTGAAGGACCAGGTTAGGGACAGATCATCATGGAGAAAATCTATGTGATTGCTAAGAATTGATACCAATTACAGTGGTACCTTGGTTCACGAACTTAATTTGTTCCGTGACTCTGGTCATGACCCGAATTGGTCGTGAACAGAAGCGTTCGTGACCCGAGGTACCACTGTAGATGGTACATAGTCAATGGATAAGTAAAATAAGCTACTGAAGAACCACATTCTTCTGTTTTTTTAACAGATCAATCCATTCTGTGTTCCATTTCAGAAAATGTACCAATGAGGAAAATTAATGCACTAAAGCAATGTTAATGTAGAACATGCTCATAGACATGGTGAAATGCTGTGTTTAATACTGATGCTGTCATGACAAGGGAGAAAGTGAAGCACTCCAGGGAGTGTCACAAAGAGCCCACTAGTCTCTAATCCTTGCCCCTCACAACCAGGAACAAAACATTGGCCCATGGTTTCCAAATTTCCCTGGAAATTGGAGGGCATTTCCCACACACACCTGTCTTTCACAGCACCGCAGGAGCGGGGTGAAAAATGATCTGGTTGGGATCCTCCCAGAGAGGAAGCACAGCAGTTTTCTTCCCCAGGTAGAGACGTAGCTCAACCACTCTAATGCAGAGCAGAGCAGTTCACTGCCCAAAGCTTGTGGTCTACAAGCAGAACTGTCTGTCTGTCCAGAACATGTTCCATCTATTTAAATTGTGTAGGTTGTGCATCAATCTATTTGTGCATCATGTAATAAATAAATAAAGGCCTAATAAGCATTTTGATTTTTGTGCCGTTCTTAAAATCAGTGCCTCAAATGCAGGAAAAAACAACAACCTTTTTTAAGCTACAGCCTGCTTTTTGTTTTTTCCTAAAGTTCTACAATGAAGCCCAGGGTTCTGCTAATTGTTCACTTCGGTCAGCTTTGGATTAGGGCTAAGGTTAAATTAATAATTCACTCTAGGGTGACTATCAGTTTATTCTGATGATGTCACTGATTAAAGGAGCAGATGAACTCCTGTTAAAGTTAGTGTACACTGTACTGTAACTGCTAGTGACAAAGCAGCCAGAAAGCTGTTTAATTCATGATTAAGTGAAATCAATCTAGACCTTTAGAGAGGGAAATTATATTCTTCTACAACTTCATAGCAGCCCCTTCTCATTTTGCAAATGCTGACTTCCTCCTCGGAACCGCTCCTGCTCCCTACCCTCCTCGAGTGAGTCTGAACGCAGCGCACGGACCCGAAGGAGGGGCCCCGTCCCTGCGGTCAGCCTCTCCCGGGGGTAATCCGGGGCAGAGGAAGGACGCGTTGGCAGGGGAGCAAGGAGCAGCCTCTGCCAACAGCGAAGTCTAAACTTACCAAATAAATAGTTACATTTTCAGGCTAATGACTCCTGAGTTTTGCCCACCGCCTATCTAGGAACAGATTGTTTCCCATGGAAATCTTGGAAATGCGAGGCTTCTCTTCGAGGTTCCTTCCCCTATCAGCTGTCAAGGTGAGCAAAGGGAAGGTACGAGACAATCTGGAACAGACCAAAACCGTCACAGATTCAGAGCTCTTCCCCACTAATGAATAACATAGCATCTATCCCGCAAATTGGCACAAAGCGATGCCAGCATAAAATCTGCTTTTCCTATTGCCAGTTCCCATCTACTGTACCTGTTCGGAGTCACTGGTGAATGTGTCATATGAGTGAGCCACTCACTGCAGGCAGAGTCCATTGCAGTTGGGCAGCTAATACATTTGAATAAGTAAATAGGCAAAACTGGGGGCTCCCCGCTGGCCTTGCTCCCTCTCTTTTCAGCAGCCAGCACGGAGACCAGCAGGATCGGGGGGGGGGCACTGGCTTCAGGACTCTGGCTGGGCTTCTCTGCCCCCTCCCCACCCCACTCAGGAAACCTGCAGTGTGGGAAGAGGCCAGGGCAGGAGCAGCCCAGAAGCGAGGAGGAGGACCCCCGCCCCCCACTCCCCGTGATGGTGCAGTTTGGGCCAGGGCATTCTGGGAATTACTTTGCTTTTTGCTTCTCACTCTATTGGTCAACTAGAGGGAACACCCTGACTGGCTCCTGAGGATCTCTGCCAGTGGAAATAGTGCCGTATGGAAATGACCTGTGTTGCAGAAAAGATCACGAGGACTGAAAGGTGGAGTGAACATGCAGGCGAATCCTACTTAAAAATACTTGAGAAGTTTTGAGGTGGCATCCCCCACAATGCTAGAACACACACATACGAATTTGTATCCCCAAGAAATCCATTGCTTGTGAGTGAGAACTTAAAGAACAATATCCATATTCTGGAACTGGGGAAGGCTGCTTGTGAAAATGAGCCAAGGAAGCCGAGTAAGAGAGGCTTTTCCCCCAAGCGCTGGGGTGAGGTGAGCCTGAAGCCCAGTAAATGTGAATGTGAATATATGGAGGGTGTTGTATCAGATGCTGGTTTTACTTCTATGATTTTATTGTTGTTTTTGTGAGCTTCCCACAGTTATTGTACATGTATTGTACATGAGATGGGTGGCCATAGAAATCCAATGAATGAATGAATGAATGCACGGTCTGTTCTCTTACCCCTGATTTTGCATTGGGGAGACTCAAGAGGCTTTTTGAACTTAAACAAAACAGTGAAGACCTCATTCTAAATTCCACATTAGGGTATTCCATTCTTTCATCAGTAATAATCCATGTGCTTCTTTATAGTTTTTATAGTTTTAATAATGACTGTTTTATATGTATTTATTGGGTTTCTTTTTAACTGAGTGTTGTACAGAGTCACTTTCTTGTGAGAAGACCAGCTATACAAATATGGCTGATAGATAGATAGATGGATGGATAGATAGATAGATAGATAGATAGATAGATAGATAGATAGATAGATAGATAGATAGATAGATAGAGCATCGGAGCATGCACAACTATGATTTTCATAAGGGAGGCCAGTATAGCTGCCCATTGTCACCTTCATGCATAGTGCATCAATTTAGGCCAGGGAGAAAATTCTCCTGTGTGGGACATGTAAAATGTCAAAGAGAATCTAGAAACAGTCCAGGAGGAGAGGGAAATTGCACCATATAGTAGTGGAGATGGGAAACGGGCTCAATTGGACTGGATGGCTTGGTCCCAAATGCTCCACTTAAATTTGGCCAAGTCAAGGATGGATATTGATGGAACTGGATGCAAAATCAGAATTAATTTTTTCAGGGAAAAAATGATCTTATCTAATGAAGTAAGGTAGACAAAGGAAATGCTGCAAAGGATTTGCCTCAAGTGGAATCTAAGATACCAAGTCTCAAATAAGTTGCAAAGGAAATGTAGCCTAGTTCTTGCGGTATAAGAGCATGAATTGCTAATTATTTTAATTTACTTATATGAATTTGTCTTTTCTGTTTGATCTGGTGAGCCACCAAGAGTCATGTAAGTGAGATGGGTGACTATATAAATTGCAATAAATAAATAAATAAGGAATTTTGATTGGATGCCTTTGAAGTTGTTTTGTGTGAGATGGGCAGCTATATAAATGTGATATAAATAAATAAATAAATATCTAAAGATGTCCTTATAGATGCACAACTGAGCACCCTACAGCATCCGCCCCTGAACTTTAGCTTTAAATAATGTAGTTGCTGGTGCTGAGACATAGTGTGTAATAATGGCAAGGATGCTTTTTGAGCTCTTATGTTAAGCTCGTGTGGAAGATTGAAAATGGACACCTAGATACTTAAAGGTTTTGATCTGCTCAACTAATTTCCCACTGATCTTCCAACTAATAAGACAAAACTGTGTTTGATCTGATTTGATTGAATATGATTACGTTCCCTGGATATATTTCCTCTCTTCTAGTGGTTCAAGCCTTCTGTTGGGTGGCCTCTTTAGGATGTGGTGTGGAGGACTCGCCTAAAGCTTTCAGGGACCACATGTAGCCCAGAGACTGTAGCTTAACCCCTGCCCCTCCAACTGGAGAATTTCAACTTTGGAAAGGCTTAAGGAACTTGTGGGAAAGAAAGCATCTGATCATGACCTGCCTTCAAATGTTTCAACATTCACATATCAGAGGAAGTGAGGCTTAACCAGCTTAATCATGGTTTATGGACTAATTGGTTGAATTCACACAACATGATAAGCTATTATTCATAATGCACATACCCAAATGACTGGATTCAGTATGTTTTTCAAAAGAGTTTCCAGTCTGAGAAGTATGTTTAATTGGTAAGGAAGGACACATAGAGAAACCTTTGGATTAATACTTGAATTGTGAGACTATTCAGGAAATTTTAATTTGCCTGAACAAGTTAGGAGGTGCTGCAGCTCTTCTGTATGTTTTGCTCCTTGTCACCCAGCAATAAAACTAAGACAAGCGCTGATTAACGTTCCCAGAACTGCCACCGGGTGAACGTACAAAGACCACCCGCTTCCGTCCCTTTGGCTCTCCCTGCCTCTCCAGAGGACTGATGCGCTTAGAGATTAAAGCATTTGTTTTTTCCTGGGATTATATTCTTCAACCCCATAAACAGGAATAATTTTGTGTTTCAAAAATCCTTCAGCAAACAGAGTGGTTGGTCTTTTGCGTTTGCTAATTTAAAACAAATATTTGTCTGCCAAGCAATATAGTCTCTGAGGATGAGCTATTAATAGGATAATTAAGCAGCCAGTAGTGAAAAGGGTTGCTGGTAATTATGGCAAGATTTGTTTGGTATTTGAAAGCAGAAAATACAAAGTGGAGTGCAAAAAATCTACCTTGAAGTTAATTAGCATAATTAGAAGATACCTGAAATAAAAATAGGCCAACTGGTTAACTTCTTGCTTTCAATGAGACAGGACAAGTCTTGCCCATCTGTATGGAAGAAAAATGGGATTCTGGCCTCAACTGCACCATGACCTTTACTGTATCAGCAAACAGAGCAGGTGAAGGGGAGGAAAATGCTTTATTTCCTGCCATCAGGCTACCTTTCTAGGGAGCAGGCGAGGAGGAATTGCTGCCAGGCAGGTGCATTCATGAGGAAAGTCACGGGCAGGGCAGGTGCTATCCGAGCTGCCCCGCTGGCTTTTTCTGCAGCTGCCTTCGTTGAATACAGATGTGATAATTAGGAAAGGAGGCCTCCATCTCGAGCTGCAGATCAAAGCTGAGGTTGCCTGGATCAGTCTAAATCCAGTCTGAAATTGCTTTCCACTTTACAAGGTAGGTTTCTGCTCTAGCTGACTTTTTAATGGTATTATCTTAACATGAATTTCTTAGCTCACTTGGGGCACAGGGCACTTTCATTTACTTTGGACAAATAAGTTGATTGGTACTTTGCTTTTTAAATTCCTTTTCATAGTACAAATGTACCACATGCTTCTAACAAGGCAGGGCATTCTTTATAGGGGCCTCCTTTGCAGTTCTTCCTAGAATGTTAATGTAATCATATAACATTGCATTTATGCGATCACTTTAGGAGGTGCTGCAATGAAGGAACAGTAGTGCTATGATTTTTCATATGAAAAAAGCCAAGAAACCTGTTGTACTTTTTCAAAAAGGAGTTGGATTATTTTCAAAGGAAGGAAGAATGCTAGCTAGATTTCATTCTACCTGGTGTTCTTGCCATGGAACTTCTGGGGACAAAAAATTGAAATCCATTTTCAGCAAGCTCCATAATGAAAAGCTTTTGCACCTGTAGTCAATGCCTACTTTCTTTATAAATAGACTCATGAGTGAGCACTGCTGCAGCATCTCAAAGAAGAGAGATAGACAAGGTGCTGGGTGAACTTCATCCAGCAAGTATTTGGAATCGTTTTGCCTTTTCTAATACTTCCAGTAGGAAGGGACTGCTTGTTTTAAGGGGCCAACTGATTCTAAAGAAAGAACAAACCCAACTTTTAAAAATAATGTTCTCAGGAGCAATAACCCACTTTTAGGGCAAGTTGCTTGAAAATCCAATCAAGGGGGATCAAAAAAGTCAACATAGCAACCATGATCAAAGCCCCCACCCTTATGTGCAGTATACATGTGATGCATGTAAAAAGTGGCATGGGCTTCAATTGCATGGTCATGGAGACCTTGACTTTTTGAGCCCCCCCCCCTCCTCCCCATGTGGATGCCCCTGAATGAGGTGCTGGGGATGGACCTCAATGTGTCACATCCACAGTTCACAAGCAGGACTATCTCATTTCTATAGTGCAAAGCACCTTGTTGAGACAAAGTGTGGGTGGCTGGTGCACCCCTAGGGTTCCAGAAACGTCGTATTCTCTTTAACCTCTACATGAAAATGTTGACTAAAATCATTCAGCTCATTGATGAACAATTCTCTCTCTTTTTCTTCAACTGCAGTGCTGAATCGCTATCTGGCCATGGGAATGGAGTACATCAGAATCAATAAATGGCTGCTCAGTTCAAAAAGATGGTCCACATGTCTGTTCGGTTGAGGAATGGAAGCAGCCGCACTCCCCCCAAGGTTCGGTTTCACTGACTCTGAATCAGTAACCCCCTTTTGATTATTAGAAGAGGCTGAATATGACCCTGCCCTTGAAGAGGGTCAGAAATGTTCACTTCTAGAATTTGGTGAAGTTGGAGTTGAGCAAGAATAGGCAAGGTATTTTTTTCTGGATAGCTCTGGTGGGAGTGGGAATAGAATTAAAAATGAGTGAGGCTGCATTTCATATCTGACCTGCACCACATTTTGTTTCCCTGATCTTCATCAGAGAACCCTGGCCTTGGGAAGAGCCATTCAGGGCGTCTTAATTAAAGCCTCTCCAACAGTCAAGCCTCCGCCTGACACATCGGGCAAAGGGGACCTCCTACCCCTCGGGAAATTGGTTCCGCTCTCCACAGCTCTGTGGGGAACGTTTTTCTGCCATTCAGCTGGATCTGCCCGCCTGTCATTTAAATCCATTATTCCACATCCTGTACTTCTCTCCCACCCAAGTAGCAGAATGCCAGGGAGAGGACAGACTGTTCTTGCCAGCATGCTGAATTGATCTCTTGCAAAGGGTTTTAAATTAGGCCAAGGGCTGCAAATTGCCCACTCCTGAGCTAAAAGGTTGACATGCAGAATTAAAATTCAGACCTAGTTCTGCAGTCATTGGATCCAAAAATGATTCATTATAACGCTTTCATCTGCATTTATAGGGTATCAAAGATAGAAGATGAGGTGGGGGAATTGCATCCAGATGTGCTCTGATCCCAAAAAAGCTAGACGAGATTGTTTTTGAAAAAAATTTAAATGCAAAATTGTGCAGATTCAGTGCAGAGAAAATTATCTTGGCTCATTTCCCTCATTTGCTCTTAAGAGAAAAGTTAAAAGAGGATGATGCCAGGCAATGCTTTTCTTTGCAGAAAATAGTTGGCATACCAAGGGTGGACATGGGCTGGCGATATTTTAGAAAACGTTCTGCCTACCAGAGTTTCCTAAAGAAAATTGCTTATTCTTCTCTATGTGTGTTTCAACAAATTAAAGAACTGCCAGCTTACACAACTGAAAAGGAGCGATGACTTAGAAGAGCAGCCCCAACACAATGTCCATTCTGCTATGGTTGGGCAACACACATATCAGAGCAAAACAAAACGTCATCAAGTGCTGAGATCTGTAGAACTCATCATCAGGCTGGGCAGCTCTCAGGCCTTTATTCTGACCAAGGGTAGACAACTCTGCAGTCACTCTAA